GGGGGGGGGGGGACCTGTCAGTTGGGTATATCTCCACTCATGATCTTCAGCACACCAGCATGAGCCTGACATGTCTACTCTGAGCCTAATGAAGGGGACCCTGTGTGGACCCCAAAGCGCTTGATATTCTGAGTGACATCTATCAAGAAATGGATTTGCACTGACTTGAGTTTCGTCGTGCTGGTGTGCTGATGACATTTGTATTCAAAGTTGTTCTGTGTGCGGCGCCATCCGTGGTAATTTCAAGCACCCATCAACTCTTTAGGATTTCCGGTAAGGAGTGTTACAAGACCTATGGACATCTGCCCCATCATCTGACATAGGGTTTCTGCCATCAGAATGTGACACACTCTCAGCCTCACAGAGATTTTTCAGCTACTGAGACAGCAAGTGTCAGCAGACTAAGGGCTTGTTCACACTATTAGACTACACTAAACCTACTAGACTTACTATACTTTTTCAGCAGATGAAAAATGCAAGTCACTGCTAGGGCACGTATAGCACATATGTTCAATGTGCCCTGATCACACCACAATGCGGGTGTGATGCACAGTGCGCTGCAAAAAAAAGAAATGCAGATATTTTTCCACAGTGCACTGTAGGTCACCACACTGCAGCGCAGTACTCAGCGACCTGAATGAAGTGTACATTTATGCACTCCACATAAATCTCAAAAAAGAAAACAATAGCAAACAAGAGTGATGTGCTAAACACTGCACACCCACCGGGCTTGTCAAAGCATTCAAGCCCATCCATTAAAACAAAGCATTTTAGTAGATGGGCTAATGTGAATGTAGCCTGAGAATATCTGGGTTCAGTTAACTCTTGCACACACAAACAATATCTGCCACCACGTTTTTATGCAAACATGCACCATTCACAGTATGTGGTATACCAATTATGACATAAGAAATGTATGCAACACTACTGCCACACCAGACAGTGTGAAAGAGAGTTTCAAATATGGTGACTTTCTCCAAAGTGACAAGAATTATTTAACTTCTCATGCTTCAGAGGATTCAGCATTCATGCAGTTTCTATGGAGAACTGAGGGTTCTAAACTGCACATGCAGCAGGTTTTTGTTGACTCTTGAGAAGCTGTCACTGAGCCAAGCCCACCCAATCAAAAGGGCTGAGGGGTATGGGGTAGGAGGGCTAAAGAGTTTGATTATACTTAACAGGTCATTCCTTTAATGTCACTTTTCTAACTATATCAATATTGCTGAATGACCATATATTACAGTCTGACAATCCACATATTATTGTGCACAAAATCACAAATTGATAGAGACTAAACATGATATACCCTGAATGCACACATCTCCTAGGGGATGTAATGTGACCAATTAATCTTCTACACATTATAGAATAGCCATGTTTGGTCTTAAGCTGATTGGTGTTCTCTTATACTGTACATTTGTGCACAGTTGATTTTAATGTAGCTTTAGCATAGCAGGAATTGTGTAATATGAATACATTTTGGTCCTTCACAGTTCAACTTTAGGTTAAAAAAAAAGACCTGGAATGTGTATTGTTTTAATCTGTTCTGCTAAACTATTATAACAATTAGCAGGCCTTGTCTAATGGAGGTTAATGACCCCCAATTATGACATGGCAACTTTACAACGGGGCTTAATTAGAAATCTTTTGAGGTTTTGAAGACTCTGGGCTAACTAGTGTTTATTCAATTTGATCTGCTTAAAATGGTTGTTGGGGTGGAGGAATGATATGAAATGGGTCAGCTCTCTGCCTGGTCACTACAGTCAAAAAGATTGAAATTTGAATGTTTGTCACCAACTTGCATATTTTGGAAAAATGAAGGTAGCAGTGTTTCATCAAAAATCCCCATTCTCCTCACTCAGTTTGGGGTTCAACAGACCTCATTATTGTCACGCTCTTGTGTAGTGTACAATAATGTACATAAGGGTTCTGTCTGATTTTGCAAAGAAAGGATTAAATGCCTAAAGCAAACAGCAAAGGGGATTGGGACGCCCTGGCACATTTTAAAGGAAAATTACATTGATCTTTACTATGCCTTTACTTTTATAGTCATCTCTCGGTCCATTCAGTCAAGGCCCTTCTTGATGTTTGTTGACAGTATGAAGAAGGGTGATAGGCCAGGGTGGTATTTTGACCATTTTAAGAAGTTGAGGGCCCCTAATAGTATTTTCTCTGCCATTGTAGCCCAAAATAAAGCCTGTTTGATCAGGGTGGAACAGTGTGGGTAATAGAGACTGAAGTTAATTTGCTAAGATTAGACAATATTTTAGTGTCAATAAAAGAGTGACAGGCCTAAAATGTGGGCACTAGGTGTGGTTTTTGCCAGATTTTGGTAGAATAGTTATGTGGGCCATGAAAGCTTAACATGGGAGTGGAGTAAAGGTGGTGAGGGAGTTAAAGTATGTACAGTAAAAACTCCCCATTAGCCGGCATCCACAGGGTTTGGTAGATTCCGGATAAATGTAGTTTCTGGATGCTTGAGAGTTACTATTAAAAATAGGTCTAATTAATGCCATACCCCCATACTATACCATAACAAACTCTGTATTGACTTCATATTAATATTGAAATGCAGTAATCAAAAGTAAATAGACACACTTGGAGTACGCCATGGCTCTTTTCATTTAGATCGACCGCCGCCTTCAGGAGAAATGTGAAGGATGTGGGGTTTCCTCTTCCATGCCGTTCACACCTACCGACCTCAGTCTAATGGTCAGATGGGGAGGACTAATCAGTCCTTAGATCTCTATCTATGCTGTTTTGTCTTGTAAAACTGATTGGGTATCGCATGTGGCCTGGGCAGAATTTGCCCATAATAAATCGTCCAAGTTCTTTTTCCAGAGTTTCTCCTGTTTCAATTCCAAATATTTCTAGTAGAGAGCCATACCCAGTCACCCACCTTGAAGTTGGGAGCCGGCTGACAATAGGCATCAGCAGTGACTTTTTGAGTGGCGGCTGTGGTGGAGAGTTTATCCTGAACAGAGCTCCAAATTTGGGAGAAGTTTCATATGAGAGAGGTGGCTTCAGGAACAGTGGAAGACAAATTGGAACATTTGAACACACAAAAAAGGAGAAACTCTGGAACAGAAACTTGGCCGATTTATTATGGGCAAATTCTGCCCAGGCTAAATGCGATACCCAATCAGTATCTGAGATTGGCCTGGGTCTCTAGAGGTGCACTATTTAAACATCATCAGCCAGTGCCTGAGCGCTTGTGATAGTGTTTCCTGGCTGATCAACTGTGTTCCTGTGTTTTAAACCCGGATTGACCTTTGACTAAGTTTACTTTTTCTCACTGGTCTGCTACCTGCCCTGGGTTACTTGATACCCATTTGTCTGCTGCTGGCTCTGACCTTTCACTACACTTACTGGATATTCCTTTGTTTGCTGCCAGCCCTGCCTTTTCCTACATCTTGCTGGATTTTTCTTCCTCTCACCTTCCACTTATCTACGCTACATTCACTCTGCGGGTCTGAAGTGACATCCACGTTACCTTACAGGCATATATGTGTAGTGAATACTGCAAGTAGATTAAGACTATTAAGTCACATTAAATATTCAGTGTAATGTAACCAGATCCACTTTGCGGGGATGGGTGGGAGGAATCTTTTGTTCCCATCTGAGAGATTCGTCTTTACTTCACTTAAGGTTTCCCTTTAAAAGAAAACTTGTTTTTCAAATAGTTTTCGAATACAGCATGGTGGTCTAGTAGTTTCAGGTGCCTTTATGTTAGGTCTGTTTTCAATGTAGGCATTCCAAGAGTTCTGATACATATATACTTCCTGATTTCCATGGGTAGTGCACATGGCCCCACCCACGTCCTCCTGATTACGCTCACTATTGGCTCATAACTATCATGTACAGCATTACTTGCCAATAGTAAGACTTTGAAGGAAACGGGAAGGGACAGGCACTTAACCCATCTGACCCAGTACCAAATCACTTGGGCATTCCCGAGGTCCCTGCTGTGTCTTGACAGGGCTGGATTAGGTGAGAATTTTTACATTTCACATTTGTTTTAAATTTCAAACACTCGAGAAAAAAATGTTACTGTATCATTTTATTTTAAACAGAAAACATCCACAAAAAAGTAACAAAACAGTCCAGATAAAGGTCATTTCATTTGTGCCATGTACGGTTTTATTTCAAACAGAAAAAAAAGAACACAATAAAATTCTGTTATGACTTAAAGCTTCAGTGATTGTTCCTTCCCTTGTTACTTACATTCAGTGGAAATTAAAAGACAAAGGAAAATAAAACTAATTGAAGTGCAAAGAAGGCTGCAGATGCAGTTATACTGTAAGTTAACTTGTTTGTTGAGAGTAAATGGATTAAGGGAAAGATGGGAAGAATTTTAGTGTATGAAAAATGCTTTGCCAGTTGTTTTTGTAGGTAACAAACCAGAACAAGCTGAGGCAATCTATGGCACTCCAGTCACTGAACTGTATTTCCATCAACAAGGGTCAACAGAAGCTGTGGAGTCCCAGCCTGCCCCCCTCGGGCATATATTTTACACTGTTATGTAAAAGCAGCATTCTTTTATTTGTACAAACTCATAGTGGGGCTCTGGTACATACACATGTAGGCATCACACAAGAGCCGCCTGGCACAGCCCTGAATGTTACGAGAGTCTAAGGCGTGAAGCTCCTCTAAGGACATTTTCAGGTATTCCCCAACCTCAGGACATGGGGTTACCTGTGGAATGTTAAACCCATTTTGTCCACCTGCAGAAAGAGAAGAGAATATTAAATCAGAAGCATAGTGGGTCTTATCAAAGTGTTTTTAATAGGCACTGTCTACATTGATGCAGAGAAACTCATGAGTTCAACTTTCAATACCAGCTGTCATTCTCCACTGCAGATCTGCATCTGCTTGGTTGCTCTAGGGCAGGGGTCTCAAACTCAATTCACTCAGGGGCCACTCGACAATTTTTTTTCTCCCATGGGGGCAGTTTGCCAAATTTCATACTTTAATTTTTTTTTTTTAGCTATATCTGGTTTGATACTACGGACACTAACGCACACACAATAAGGCCCCATTCATATCTGTAGGTTTAAGTGCGATTAGGGATTCCTGCGTCAGGAACTTGCGTTTTCCTGCAGCAGGAATGCCTAATCTGGCATTTACAAGCGGCAGCTGTCACCCATTCAATTTAATGATCAGGTGACAACAGCTGCATGTAATGATATGTGATATTATTACATGCAATTAGAATTCACTCTCCCTGGATGCACAATCGATGCATCCAGGGAGAGTGATTAATTCCTAACCAAATGTAATCATATCTGCTGCAGACCTTACTAATCAATCTGAGTGCTGGCCCAGAAGCAGCTATGCGGTCTGCATCCGACAGAGATGCAGACCATGTAGCTGCTCCCACAAGTCGGGCACGTGGTCCGTGACCTTGTACATGACTTGTGAGCTGGCTGCAGGCCGCATAGTACCGGCTCGCAGGCCACAATTGGACTGTACTTTGAGACCACTGCTCTAGGGTAATGCATATTGGTCTTATTTAAAGAGGAAATCTTGCTAGAAGGAAATGCTTGTTGAACCATGCAAGGGACACAGTGCACATCACACTTGGTCCCATTCTAATCTGTGCAGAGGTTTTCAAATAAAACAATTTTTTTATTTCTGTCAGACCTGTTTGTAGCTCCACCCCAGGGTGAAGTTTATTCTAGGGGCATTGCTCAGGGGGAGTTACAGCCAGAGCTAAAGTCACCTCCCTCTCTTCATTCTGCAGGCCTTTGCCTCCTCCGGGCATACTGTAGGAGAGCCCACACAAATCCTGCCTCCTCCTCTAAAAACTGCCAGATTGAGCATCTTCAGTTCTGATTTCCCTTGTGCCTTCTCTGATCTCCTCTGCCAGCTTCTATGAAGTAACAAGAAACACTGAGCCTATACCGGCTGCCAACTATTCAGGGGATAGAGAGTGAAGTAGTGTCAGCTTGTACTGTTGTAAATGTCATCGCTCAACTCACATCATAAGGCAGCTACTACACTTGTCCAAGAGAGACTAGTGTAGTAGCTAGTTTGTGTTGTTGTGTCACTGTAACTAGTGTAAGTATATGAATTTGATTTAGTCTTTCTCTCAGTCTGAGTTGTATAGGGGATTGCAAGAGAATAATTGCAATCCCCTATACAACTCAGACTGGGAGAAAAATTAGAGCCAATCAGGTGTGCTCCATGCAAATGTGCTGACAAGAAACATGCTGATAACAGAGAGAAGCAGAGAAATTGCTGCTGCTCTTTCACTGTCCAGTCAGCATACGGAGAATGGAAAGAGGATACCCTTGTATCCCTTCACAGACTGCAATTGTAACACAGAAAGTGGTCTCAGCTGCCTGCTGTGTGGCAGAACTATATAAGTCTTAAAACTTGATAGACAGAAATACAACTACTTTGGCGGATAAAACGATATGTATTTCACCTGTGCATTTAGACGTTTGCCTGGCGTTCAGCTTTAATGAGCATGTTTTAGCAAATTAGCATGGAACCTAAAAGTCAGTTTTTATAAACACTGGAAAGAACATGATGATGATGATTTTGTGTTAAAACGATAAAACTAGTCGCAGATTATTAAGGATGCTAGATTTGCACTGCACAGGGTTGTTGTATCACACACATAACACAAGCAGGAATGTAGCAATGAATCTCTAAGGGCTCATTCACAACGGCCCTTACGCTAAAACTGCCCTGCATTGGGGATGGTGCCTTGTACTGCTTTCCTTTTTTTTTTTTAAATGTTAAAGTGACATTTTACTCATTTGTATGCGCTGCAGCTATGCTGCGGTGCAGTGACAAGCGCTGACGTGGGGTAAGTTGAAGAAAAAGTATGTCTACATTTGTTCGCACTGCAACGCAACCTACCTCAAGGAAGATTTGTAGTGTGAACAGGGCACACAGAAACAATTGTTTTCTATGTGCTCTTGCGGTGTCTGGCGGTGATCAGGTGCTAAAAAATGCCAGTCACCACACATGGCATGAACGAACCCAAACCCCAGAACACTATCTTCTTAGAGTACACTAAGGGGCCTATTTTAACAGTGAATGGATATTGCTATACAGTCTTTCCTATATACTGCATTATTACACCCCACCTCAGCCTACATATTGTGGCCTATTCATAAAATGCAGGATGTGGGAGGCCAGTCACATGACTGACAGCTAGTGCCTGTGTTGCAAAATGCAGGGTAACATTAAGAGAGCTAACCAGCCTTAATGGCTAGAACTTTTCTTATTTTGTAATCTTTCAGTATCTAAGAGGCAGAATCTGTAGAATTGTACCAGGTTAGCCATAAATGGTAGCAAAAAAGTGAAAATATAGATAATAACCTTTGCTGAACTGAATATAATTTACCATGCAAGCTTTCAAGAGTACTTAATTCTCTGTCAGACATTGGGGCATAGTTATAAAGCAGTGCATGTGACATTCACAAAACTTCATTGCAAGAGAATCAATCAATTACATTTAAAACACATGCACCATGAAGATACCTACAGCTGCAGTGAATGTTTGCCAAAGGTCACCTTCACATATTTATAAATATGACCCATTATGTCACAGAAATATCTGAATGTGATTTCTCAGTATATACCTACCATCACGGTCTGCCATGCTGTCAAAAAACACCCAAGCAGAGTCGTCCCTGCCATATTTTACAAATGCCACATAATGACTTGTCTCAATGCACAACACAGCAAACAAGTCCATCTTCTGGTACGGTATACAGCCACGCCTCCAGTCCCAGTCTGGGAGCTCTTTGGGAAGAGATACCGGATTGAATTTATGGTGCTGTCTTTTTGGGTGAAGGTGAACCTATGGAATTCAAAAATAAAAAAATGCTTGAGAGAAATGGTGGACTTGATGCAACAACTAGCACTGTAAGATAAATTAATTACTCTCCATGCGATATCAGTCATGTGATGATATCACTATCTGACGGAACTAAAGTCCTGAAGTAAAAAAACTGCTAGAAGTTAGTTTTTTTGGCAAAAGAGATATGCAAAATCTCTTTTGCCACATGTCCTAGATCAGGGCTTCTTAAAGTGTGGATCGCGAGCCCACATGGGGTCGCGCAAGAAAACAAGGGGGGTCGCGATCTGAATCCCCGGCCAGGATCGCCTTTAGGGGGATACGGCCAGTACTTGTGTGAGGGGCCCCAAGCAAGATTTTTTTATTTTCGTTTAATGTGTAGTGACAGTGTAGTGTAGTTAAGGTCACAGGCCCTCCTATGCACTTGGTACCTTCCTGAGCACATGCGTGCAGGAAGTTTTTTTTTCAGTGACAGAGCTTTCTTTAACCCAGCAGAAGTGGAGCACAGCTGCAGGAGGTAAAGGTAAGGAGGGGGAAGGGAGGTAGTAGTAGTAGTTGGTAACGGCAATTAAAACAAATTGTTCTATAGTTGCTTATAATAGGTCTGTTTCAATTTGTAAATCTAATCTCAGTTTTTGAAGTTGGAAAGGCTGCTAATAATTAGATGATATACTACAGCAGACACCCACAATAATTTGGGTGTCATTGTCTTCCAGATCACTGATAAGTCAATGGAAGCAATGCTGTGTCTGTCTCACCATTCACAGATATGGATTGCTGAGATAAGGGGAGTCCAAATATATGTTTAAATGATTTAGTGTTTGTGACTGCTAGAGCATAGATAAGGTATATAGCCAGGCATCAAAACTTCCAAAGAAAATAAAAATGGGACTCTTTAGAAACATGAACGTTCAGCTACTCACCTGGGTGTTGCACGTTTTACAGAACTGCTTTATTTTTCCAGCAGAAATGTCGCTGTCATCATAGCACTCCCTGCATTCATACATTGCAAGACCTCCACAGATACGGCACTGCCGTGGGGCTGAAAAATCAAGCCAAAGACACGCACTGAGGAGTGAGTGACAGGAAAATGTTACATGCCAAGCACAGCAAAGCATTTCCCAAAATGCA